TTCTGTTGGTTCACAAACTCAGGAGCTTCCTGGGTAAAATCTGAAAACGACCTCCCACCCCCACGGGCAAGGAGAGGCTGAAGAAAGGGGCAGACCAGTCCAGATTGTTCAGATTGATAGGTGGCAGATTTCAAAACCAAGGGAATTTACATAAGAGGCTTATCTTGGACACCACAAGAAGAGCAGAAATCTGCAGTAGACCACCGGAATTAAAAGTTTACATAGAGGCCTTATCTGGGTTTGAGACAGGAGAGGAGGGGGCAGGGCACAACCTTTAAAAAAAAATGACATAGCCATCGGGGACATGGTATAAACTAGTTAGAACCAGTTAGGCTCAAGGCAGCAGAATATTGACTTCCAGTAGGCCTTGAGCTTCATTATACATTCATTGTGATTCATTGTTATCTGTTAATAAAAGACACACCCAGAGGGGCCAGGTCAGTCCAACCATAAAAGGCCAAAAAGTGACTTGGTGAATATATACATGTGTCCTCTAAATAAATCCACTTCTTACCTATTTCTTTGTCTCTTGCTGAATTCTTTCTCTGCCGAGACATAAAAAACCTGAACTTCAGTAAGAGCTGAGAAGAGTTGCGTAGTTTCATTTGGAAGATTGTGAGTGCAAGTCCCTTATGAGGTGTGGTTTCGGATTGAGTCATGTATCTCATTCAGATGGTCCCAACAATACATTCTCTCTCCTGTGTCCCTGGAACTAGCTCCCAGTGTGGAAACAGCAGGCAAGGAGTGCATTTCAAATACAAGGGAGGGGTAAGGATCCTCTGATGGCCCAGGTTACGGGGCAACCGGAGGGCGTTTCTTTTCAGTTACCATCTCCAATGACTCCCAGTTGCTGATTACAGGTTGTTTTCCAGCTTTTAAAACTGAGCCATAGAGAAAGTCTATTACCTTTTTAAAAAACAGTTTTTGATTCCTCTGAGAAGTCAGTGCAGTCCTAGATTGTGTATTCAAAATTTATATATTCAATAAATGAATTAGCACAGTGGAAAAGGTAATGTATTACCCAGATTCCTCTTAAATGAAGGACCTGTTACCCCAGCTACAGAATTAGTGCTAGAAGAAGGCCTCCTGCTGTTGTCTGCTTCATTGATTGCCTCAGTTTCAGGAAACTGCCTTGTCTCAAGTTCAGGCTCCACAGTAATTAATGTTAGTATATAAAGGACTGGCGCTTCCCAGGTGGGGTTAGTGGTAAAGAATTCACCTGCTAATGTAGGAGACACAAGAGTCTCAAGTTTGATCTCTGGGTTGGGAAGATCCCTGGAGGAAGAAATGGCAACCCACTTCAGTATCTTGCCCGGGAAATTCCATGGACAGAGGAGCCCAGTGGGCTGCAGTCCCTGGGGTCACAGAGAGTCAGATACAACTGAGTGACTGAGCACACATAAAGGACTGGACCGCTCAAACCAACTCAGGATAACTCTAAAGGGTAATCCTAGCTGCAGAACTCCCTTGAGGGCCTGAGACTGTCACTGGCCAGCATCAGATCTTGACTGCTACCGCTACCCAGCGCTGCCCACTGTATCTCCCACTCACAGACGTTGGTGCTTAATTAATATCCTGTCTGCTAGATTCTAAGGAAATGATATTGTATGTATAAGATGTAAACTCCTATGCAATGCAGTATTTATAGAAATAGTATTATTATTCATTTATAATAGTTTACCTTGCATAACTCCTAAAAATATTTGAGGCAACTAATAATAATTATAGTATTTAACCAGTAGACATAGCCACACAAAGACAAGCTTTATATAGGACAGGAAATGATTAATGTTCAGTATTTCAAAACAAAATTTTAATTGATGCCAATCAATCACAAACTAAACAACACCTCTATAAGAGTAATTTCTGACTTTTGCTTCTGTACGAGAACCCAGACAAGAAAGTCAAGAATAGGAAATATTTATGCAAATAATGACGGGAGGGTGTTGGGGGTGGTAGGTGGGCAGTTAAGGTTATGTGTGTGACCTAGAAAATCAAGGAACTGATTTAGAGATGCCTATCCCAGGTAAAGGGGTAAAGAACCTGCTCGCCAACACAGGAGACAGAGAGCTGCGGGTTCGACCCCTGGGTTGGGAAGATCCCTGGAGGAGCGTATGGCAACCCATTCCAGTTTTCTTGCCTGGAGAATCCCATGGACAGAGTAAACTGCTGGGCTACAGGCCATGGGGTTGCAAAGACTTGGACATGTCTGAAACAACTTACCACACATGCACATTGTTGTAAACAGAAAAGCAGGGTATAATATACCAGGACATATTTCTCCTTTATACATGGCTGTTGTTCAGTCGCTAAGTCATGTCCAACTCTTTGCAACCCCATGGACTGCAGCACGCCAGGCTTCCCTGTCCTTCACTATCTCCCAAAGTTTGCTCAAACTCATTTCCATTGCATCGGTGATGCCATCCAACCATCTCATCCTCTGTTGTCCCCTTCCCCCCTTGCCTTCAATCTTTCCCAGCATCAGGGTCTTTTCCAATGAGTTGGCCCTTTGTATCAGGTGGCCAAAGTACTAGAGCTTCAGCATCAGTCCTTCCAATGAATAGTCAGGGTTTATTTTCTTTAGGATTGACTAGTTTGCTCTCCTTGCCATTCAAGTGACTCTCAAGAGTCTTCTCCAGCACCACAGTTGGAAAGCGTCAATTTTCCAGCACTCAGCCTTCTTTATGGTGCAGCTCTCACATCCATACATGAATCCATACATGACCACTGGAAAAACCACAGCTTGGACTATACATACCTCTGTCAGCAAAATGGTGTCTCTGCGTTTTAATATGCTGTCTAGGTTTGTCATAACTTTTCTTCCAAGGAGCAAGCATCTTAATTTCATGACTGCAGTCACCATCTGCAGTGATTTTGGAATCCAAGAGAATAAAGTCTGTCACTGTTTCCATTTTTTTCTCCATTTATTTGCCATATACAAATATTTTTTATTTGATTAATTTACTTTAGGTCACGCTGGATTTTCTCTGCCCCAGGTGGGATTTTTCTAGCTGTAGTGCACAGGTGCTGCCTTCACTGTGGTGTGCAAGCTTCTCAGCGTGGTGGCTCCATTTGTGTGAGCACAGGCTATAAGTGCATGGGCTTCAGCAGTTGCAGCGGAGGGGCTCATTAGTTGTGGCTCCTGGGCTCTGGAGAGCTTGGGCTCAGTAGTTGTGGCATGTGGGCTTTAATTGCCTGTGGCACGTGGAATATTCCCAGGAAGATCCCAGGAAGCGAACCCATGTCCCTTTCATTGGCAGGCAGATTCTTAACCACTATACCACCAGCAAAGTTGCTATATATAGGAATATTGAGGGAGAAAAGGAATCATCCATTTACCATAAGGTTCCTGTTTTGATATGGAAGCTACTACATTGAGGGTACTGAGCAAATGGAAAACAAGCAAATATTGTTAATGGACAACAAGATAAATATTGTAGCATTAATTAGAAAACTGTTGAGAGTTATTAAATGTAATAGGGTACCAATAGATAAAAACCTTTATTTTTAATCTGATATCACATACCATATCACTAATTCCCGAGGGTATTTTGGGGGCAGCTAAGGCAGATGTGTGTGACATCTTCGTTTCCAAGGTTGAAAATTCATGAATGCTTTTGTGAGTCTCTCTCACTACAGCCTTGACAGTTAATATTTTTTAAATTAGTTTTTAAGTAGAGGATAATTGCTTGACAATATTATGTTGGTTTCTGCCATTCAACAGCATGAATCAGCCATAGGTACACACTTGGCCCCTCCTGTTTGAACCTCCCTTCCGCCTCCCACCCCATCCCACCCCCTAGGTTGTCAAGTGCGCCAGGTTGAGCTCCTTCCCACTAGCGATCTGTTCTACATATGGCGATGTGCATGTTTCACTGCTTCTTTCTCAGTTTGTCCCACCCTCTCTTCCCTGCTCTGTCCCCAGGCACTGACTGTTTTTGACAATGCTGGAGCCGTCAGGGGTTGGGAAGGGAGTGGGCAACCCAGGGGTTTAAGATGAATTACAAGATACCTTTGCACGCTTCAACCCAAACATCACTCATCTGAAAGCCCCGTCATCTTTTGGTACATAAACACCCTATTCTCGTATCATGGTCTGTCAGTCTTCTTAACTGGCAAGCCCAGCCTTACTATTAGATGCCCAATAAATTGACATTTTGATGCCCAGACCAAGTTTTTGTCGCATATCAGGAAAGGCTGGGGACAGTCAAGGCAGGGTGGTTCAGACTTGAGTAGAGGCTCAACTGGCAACGAGTGTGCTACCCAACTAGCAAAGAGAGCATGAAAAGGTCCAGCTTTCCCTAAGGCTCAAATTCTAAGTCAGAAAGTAGCCAGCTTGTGTGGGTGCTCGGAGTCCAATGGTACTGAGATTCCTTCCAGGGCTGGGCACAACATCCCGAGGGGAGAATGTTTCTGGGCTGGCTGCTTGCAGGAGGACCACCCAAAGGTCACAGGAGAGGGATTCTCTAGATCTCGGCTGCTCGGGTCGGAGGACCAGTGACATCAGCATCCCCTGGGGGATTGTTCAGCTTGTAGATCTCAGACCCCAGTCCAGAGCAAGCGACTCCAAATCTGCATTTTAATTGCTAGGCACCTTGAAGTTGAAGCAGCAAGGTTCCAGGTGGTAGCACCGAGACTAGCGGAAGGACCTGCCTCTCGGCCCCGCCCCCTCGCCCTTTGCTCTCCCCTTAAGACGAGCTCAGCCCAGCTTTGGCCCTGCACAGAATTTCTGCACAGTGCCTATGAGGAGGGGGCGTGCAGGAGCTGCCCGTGGAGGGCAGAGGGAAAGTGGGATCAGATCAGCGAGAAGGGCTTTCTCCAGCTCAGATCCCACGGCGTGAGACACTCCCCCCGCCCCCCCCCCCCACGCCCGCAACCTCTCCACCCCCGCCCCCCGCAGCTGCTACTGCCAGCCTCCCTCTGGCCGCCACGAAAACCCGGAGCAGCTGCGCGCGCTCCTGGAAAGTCCTCCCAGGGCGAAGCCGGGCAGCTGGGCATGCTCAGTAGCTGGGGGAGGCCTGGGTGGAGAGTGGGAAGCTGTGGCTCAGCCTCCCGCCCCTCCCGCCGGCCCCCGCCCCCTTTGCCCCTACCCAGCCCGTAGTAGTTGCCCGGCGTGCGCCCGGGGAGACCGGGAACATGGCGCTCCGAGCGATGTAGCCTCGGAGCAGGAGAGGGGGACGAGGCTCCGCCGCCGTGCTGACAGCCAAGCCACCAGGTAGGCAGGCGCGCCCGGCGGGGCTGCCCGGGTGGGTACGGGCGCGGGGAGGGGCGCTTGCGGGGATGCGCACGGCGGGGACCCGGGCACCTGGCTTTGCCGGGAGAGGATGAGAAGCGGACATCTGTGACAGCGCGCGATTGTGCATCTCCTAGGAGATGCCGAAGGCTGGGGACCGACTGGCTGAAGGGGATGGATTCGGGAACCGCCCCCCGCCCCCCACGCCCATGCACTGCCATCCAGCCTGGGCTCTCTGCGGGTCAAATAAAGGGTAGTTCTTTTCTGCTGAGCAGGAAGGCATGGGGGAGATACCAGGATACCAGTCCTGGGAATGCGCTGGTCCCCCGGACCGCGGGCAAACCCAGCACCGGTTCTTTGTGTATACAGCCCCGCATGCAGGGGGTGCCGCGGTGCCTGCTTCTCTGAGGACTATTGGACATATTGCCAGGGCAGGATTCCCGTTTGGTTTTTGTCTCTTGACAGGTGTAGATTGGAGAATGCAATAGCTGAGCTTTTATGGGGCTGTTTTCCTTTGTTACTTGCCTTGGAGTGTGCGTGTGTGTGTGTGTGTGCGCGCGCGCGCGTGGTGGGTTGTAATGGAGAGAACTTCTGCTCGTGGGCACGGGTGTGGACAAAGCGTGGAAGAGAATCTCGGTTCCAAACTCTTGTCAAAATTGCCTGCGATGTTAACCTCCTGGAGGATAAACTTGAAAAGTCCAGAGATTATCAGTGCCCAGTTTGAAGGAGAAGTGTGTTCACCTTTCTTGAACCTATGTGCGCGTATCTGCAGCTTTAAACCTGGGACGCAAGGTAATTCCACATTAAATGTCAATTAAGGGAATTTGAAGCATTGGGATGTTTTTTTTATAGTGGTCTTCTTCTTCTTCTTCTTTTTTAAAGGCCAAATTAATAAAAAAAAAAAAGAAAAGTTGGCACAAAGCCAGAGGACAGTGTCGTCGTTAATAGTTAATGACAGCTTTAAAAGGATAAATATACTTTTGGGGAAATCAGGAAACTGGGTGTTCCAAAGGTTTGCATCAAAAAATAGATATAGGGTCTTGGGTAACTCTCAAAACCTCTCAGAGCATCCTTTTCCTTTCTGTGGTTTGGTGGTAGGTAAATAACTGTCTTAGTTGAGTCCAGATGGACCACACCACTTTTTAGAAGTCCCTCCTACACTAGAATTCTATGAAATTGAAACCGCATAATAACAGCTTTGCACCTTACATTTGTATGTCTGATTTATTCAGACCTACAACTCCCTGAGTTAAGGAGGAAAGGTAAATTTAGAATGTGCTTTTATTTTTTGATTTGTAAAGGATGGACATCTGTGACTATGAAGTTTAGACACACTTCCTTCCGTGCTTACAGTATTTATTTTTATCGTCTCTTTAGGTGGCAAGAATGAGTCAGTATCATCAAAATGAAACGGGAGAAACTTGAGAAAAATGCATTTAATTAAATTAAAACCATAAATGTCCAATCTGGTGATAATGCCTTGATTTCGAATGCACATGTGCAAAGCAGAAGCACTGCTGATGGGAGCAGTAGAAAATGAAGTTCGCTGATAGCACTGGGGTGATATTTTTGTGCTTCTCTGTGAATGGGTAGAGTTGAATTGTACTAAATCCCTAAACTTGTTAATAAACCTGAGAGAGAACTGCAGGCATTGAAAACACTTTGAGCTTCCCTCCTGTCATTTTGCTAAAATGTTGCAGGTGTGAGATGCAAGTATTCTAGGATCTCATCTTGGTGGTGAGATGGTTGAGTTTGAGCTGTGACTCTTCTCTCTTTAGCTTTGTGATCTTGAGCAAGCTATTTAACTTTCCCAAGCCTCACTTTCCTCAGCTGTAAAACAAGCCTAGAGCTAAGACTTAACCTAAATTGGGTAGAGGTATGGTTTACTCATAAACCACAACCAGTGGTGGTGATCATTATCAGAGGAAGGAAAATGGATGTTTATTTAACATATACTATATGCCCTGTATTAAGCTAGATAAGTTCAAATGTCTGATCTCATTTAATCTTCCCAACTAGAGCCTGTCAGTCATGAAGAGTCTAACGCGACTTAGTGACTGAACAACAAACAGATGGCTTAAAATGGCAGAAATATATTCTTTCTCAGTTCTGGAGATTAGAAGTTCAAAATCAAGGTTTAGTCCAAGCCATTCTTAAGCCTCAAGAGGAGGATCCTTTCTGGCTTCTCCCAGTTTCTGGTAGACCCAGGTATTCCTTGTTTTGGGACAACATGACTAATTTCTGCCTTAATCTTCACATTGTGAAGTTCCCCCATTTATAAATAAGGACACTATTCATATTGGCTTTAGGACCCATCCTAATTCATTTTTACCTCAACTTAACTTGATTATGTCTGCAAAGACTCTGTTTTGTAATCAGGTCACGGTTTTAGGTTCTTGTTAGGCCTGAATTTGGAGGGAACTCTGTTCAGCCATGTATACCCTATGATCTGTATTTAATGACAGTATTAGTATTATGTTAGTATCAGTAGGATGTAAAGAAAAAAATAGTATGAATATTGAAAAGACTTAAAAGCTTATTTAGTCCAGCAAATATATTTGAATTTTTATATACCCAAACATGGTAGAGAAAAACAGTGTTCAGAGGTACCTCATTTATACAAATGTCACTTGTCTAGAAACCAAAGTAATCTAGGGTTTCAGGCTTAAATAAGTAACATAGCTGATATACCCTAGCCCAGATGGATTTGTTAATGTTTGCCTCCCTCCCTTTTTGCTACCCCACCAACACAATGCAAACAAACAGCAGAAAACCATATTAAACAACAAAAATAACAGTCACAAAAATACCCCAATCTTAACACCTTTCTAATATTTTTTATCCTGGTAAATGGCACCACTGTCCAGGGAGTTGCCAGAAGCTCAGAAATCATCTCTGATGCCTCTGTTCTCTTTGGCCTCCATACCAAAAACTATCACCAATTTTTGCAAGTTCTGTCTTCTCTATCTACCTATAAACTCTTGATAAATTCTTGTTTACATCCTCACTCCATCAAGCTTCAAGTTGTTACTATCTTTCGTTTGGTCCACTAATGGAGCTTCCTAACAAGACTCCTGGTTCCCAGCTTGGCCTCTCCCATCCTTCATCCAGAACAGGTAGAATCATGTCAGTCCCCTGCAGAAGATGCATCATGTACCTGGCACAGTTTCCAGAGATTCTTGCTGGCCTCCTCCTGGGCATCTCTTCCTCTTGCTGCTGTCATACTGATCTGTTTCTTGATCGTCCCTCATGCTTTGCCAGCTCAAGCTGTACTCACTTGGGTCTTCTTGATCTCTTTTCCTCATGAGCCCAGATCTCTCATCACCTTTCTACTTTTCTTCTATGGCACTGAAAATGTGCAGTTTCCTGTTTGTTTGGCTATTCATTTAATTCCTGTAAACTCTGTGATGGCCATTTGTTTGGTGTCTTTCATGTAGAAGATGCTTAATAAATGGTCAATAAGTGAAGGAATGAGTGCTCTTCCTCATAGAATTTTTCTGTGCCAACTTAAAGATATGATATTTTTAAAACTATTTTCTTTACTGCCTATATAAAAAGAGCAATTTAGAACTCATTCTGACTTTAAGAGGACTACTCTTGGCTTTAACAAATGCATCTTCGAAGAACTGATTTCCAGTGAGCAGTTAAGAATGAAGTCAAAATAATTTTTTGACAACTGAGAGTTTTGTAAAAATGTCAGTCAACAAATATTCAAGTATTTCAGCAAAATATCTGTTGAACATTAACATTTTCCATGCTGGGCCCTAGGAAGATAGTGGTGAACTAGACTTTTAGCCCTCTAGAGATTAACAGTAAATAACCCTAATAGGTAATGATAATATTGTTTATTGAGCATTTGTTATGTGCTAGGTTCTCAGGGGCTTCCCTGCTGGCTCAGCTGGTAAAGAATGCCTGGAATGCAAGAGACCTGGGTTCGATTCCTCGGTTTGGAAGACCCCCTGGAGGAGGAAATGGCAACCCACACCAGTATTTTTGCTGGGAAATCCCATGGATAGAGGAGTCTGGCGGGCTACAGTCCATGGGGTCCCAAAGAGTCGGACAGGACCAAGCAACTAACACTTTCCCTTTTCAAGTTCTCTTCCTTCCTTACTCTTATTATTACAGATGGCTCTCCAGTCTTTCCCAATAATACAGAATCCAGATTAGATGCACAACAAATACTTGATGAATTAATAATTAGATGCTATTATCCTGATCTTTCAAAATAGGAAACTTAGGTTTATCTGAGGAAAACAGACTCTGCTCAGCGTGCATATACAGAAGTGCATGCAATTGCGTTCTGAAAATATCTAGGTTTGGACTCTGTTCTACTTTAAAAACTATCCTACCTATTGTCTCTGGGGTTAAAATAAGAGACAGATTGCTGTCTACCTGAGGATAGGTTCCTGGTGTATTTCTTTGTCTTCCACAGTTGTCAAAATTCTTAATCACCAGCTGGATTCTTTGGTCTGTCCTGTTTAATCCAAGTGAGAAGTGACTTAATCTCTTTCATTTAGAGGACTTTTTGATAGTTTTGAATAGCGAGACTGAGTACCCAAGGGAAATGAAGGTGGTCCAATATGGGAACACGGGTTATATTTTGCATTTCTAGTTTGGCCTCAATTTTATGTCATTTTAGTAGTTGCAAAAAGGTTATTTTTAAAATAAATGAAAGTATCATTTAATGCATATGCTTAAGTATTACTTTTTATCTAAGCAAGAAAAAATCAGACATTGTATCTTAATTTTATTTAAAAGTTTTGGATATACTGTTGACTCAACTGAAACCTAAGAAACCAATAAGAGGGTTCAGTAAAGTGGTTGGTTTATAATATACATGTTCAGAAATCAAGGATTACCTCAAATGCTAGTACTTACCGGCAAAAAGAATACAATAGAAAATGATTCTGTTTATGAATCTATACAAATACATATTATCTAGGAAAATTGGAAATGTATATAAAATACCAATACTTGGAGGAAAAAGGTATCTAAGGGCTTATGTAGGAAAGCTATACAATTTTACTTAAACACATAAAATCAGAAACAGATGAAAACTTGCCTTAGTCTTAGAAAGATAGATATTTGATATGGTTATTTTTCCAT